ACTCCTGTCTACCCATCCATCCACCACACCAAAGCTTTCTTCCTCCCCCTTCGCCTCAAACGCCACTCAAAGCCACCAAACGAAAATCCGACATTGTACAGCAAAACTACATCAGAATCCAGAGGCGGTGCAGCAAATCCGAGCCGTGAATCAGACACCGGCATAGGACTACTGCCAGGGATCGAAGGAGAAGGAAGGTCCCTCCAAACGAGAGAGCGAGAGAGAGAATAGACTAGAATAGACTAGAAGAAAAGAGAAAAAGGAGAGGAAGAAGAAGAAGAAGAAGAGATGAGAGCGAGGGGGACGACAACATGTGCAGGGAAAAGAAAGAGTTCAAGGCATGATTCTCACTCTGTCTCATAAGGAGCCTCAATTGATACCCCATACCCACCCGGTAACGATTGATACTCTGTGGTCACCGGATATGGACCCTACACCCCTCTCCCTCCCTTCCCTCCGCCCCAACCGACGGCTATTGACCTTCCAGATTCCCTTCTTCATTCGTTTGTTTGTTGCTTTTTCGTCCACTTTAATCATTCGCCCTCTGTCCCGTTTCTCGTACACTTTGTAGGCTTCGTCTTCCTTTCTTTCTGCTTTTTACCTTTTTTTTCTCTCGCCCTCGATGCCTTTATCTTTTTTTAATGCCTTTTTTTCGATTGCCCAGGTTCGGTTTCTGTTGCTTTTGAGATGATGGTTTGCTATCCCCCTTGTTTGTTGTTGTTGTTGCTTGGTGGTCCCCCTTCTTTACGATATTACTTTTTCATAACTTTGTCCCACTCTCTTTTGAAGGTGTCAATTGAATAAAATAAAATAAACAAAACCTAGGGTTGAGGTTCTTCATTGCAATGAGATCAAGTAAAGAATCAGTTTTGATATGACGATGATGTGTTTTTTTTTTATGCAAAGACCAACAATGACCATAAGCTGTCACATGATGCATAGAGAGTTCAAAGTGGCCCTTTGATGTTTTTTCACAACCAATAATGGAGAAAGGAATTGTGTTTTATAAAAATAAGTATAAAAAATATATAAATAAGTGGATTTGTATGTTTAAGGCTTTCGTGAGTATTTTCCCTACAAAATCCCTGAAATCACCCATGTAATGCATTGGGTCATATTTTTCCATTCCTTTTTACTTGAATGGAATGAATTTGTATTGAATGGGTTTCATATTTTTGTAGTGTGTTAAAAAAATGAGGAGGAGTTGGGGGAGGGGGGGGGTTTACTTTTTCATGTATGTGCCCTACTGTTTTCTATTTATATAACTCTATATATGATAAAAGCTTGAGAGATAGAGTTGGATTGTGAGAAAGCGAACATGGGGCCAATCAATTGAGCTGTTGGTGACTTAACTTTAAAGTTTGAGCCAGGTTTCATTAAGAGCAAGCTGAGCAGAAAGCCCAGTATATTTATATATCATAGATTACATCCACTTTTATTTGTTTTGCTGTATACCAATGTGATAAACTTTTTCCTTTAATTTTTTTCTTTCACTAGGGTTTGTGTTCTTTTGCCCTGACTGAGACTGCCGTGAAGGTTTTTGCCTGGTTCAAGGGAACCAGCAACAAGAATGTTTCATTTCTTTTTCTTTTTCTTTTCTTTTTAGGCAGAGAAATGAAATCGGAAATCGGAAATCTGTGGCTTCTGTGTGGCATGCTTTTGCTTTTATGACTCTTGCTGTAATTAATCATTGATTAAAATGAGAATTAGGACCTAGGCTTGTGTATTCTGTAGCATCTGCTAATAGGATTCTCTTTAAGAATCCAGAAGGCAGCACACAACACAAATATATATACATATTATAATAATAAATACGGACATGTGTGTGTATATTTATATTGTGGGTAAGCGGCACTATGACTTGTTCAAAGAGGCTTTTCTATCTAGAATCCCAAACTGTGGGCTTCTCTGCTTTGTTGCAAATCAAACGTTTTCTTCTCCCATGAGACGTTGCTTGCAAGAAAGCCCTACTCAATGTGATATATATATATATATATATATATAATAGAAGAATAAAAAAATGAAAGTCAGAAAATTTATTCAATAGTTCAAGCCACAATAGAACTCAAAAATACAAAAAAAGAATCCAAAGGCACACTCTAAATCAAATTTTTTAACCACCAAATTGTACCAACATCAAATAAACAACATGACCTTGCTTCTTTTCTCTATGAGTCCAAAATTGTATACTTGACTTGTGCATCATCCCAACATACCTGAGTGTATATCATTCAATTGTTTATTTCTTTATTGCTCTATGTATTTTAACAGTGAATCACTTTCTTAAGAAGTTACACAAAAACTGCAAGCTCCCTACTCCTGAACCCCCCATGCAAAGCAAACAAACTCACTTCCACAAATCTCAAGGCAGAGGAGGCATGATTCAGTGTGGTAGTGGCATAAGTTTCGTCTTCTATTATAATAATAAGAATGATAAGAAGATTAGGGTTTGAAGGTTTCTTTCCCTCACTCACTGTCTGGTCTGTAAAAAAAAAGAGGGCATGAGGGTTCATAATTGTTATTATATACTAAAGCATGTGCTCTGAAGTTGGCCTTTTTGAGAAGTGCCACAAGTTCTGGACATTGTTGGATGGGGAGGTTGGCACTTGTTTTTCACACTCTTGTGGGCATTCATGGCAAGGAAGTGCAGTGCCTTTGCTCTTCTTATTTAACCATTTGTTTTGTGTGGTGTCTGTTTCTTATTATGGTTAGTGTATTTGGGGTGTGATTCATGTTATTGGTTCTCTAGATTTGTGTTTGATTTTCAACTGTTTATTATTATTATTATTATTATTTTAATTAATCTATTTTTATTGTTGTTGATACTGTCTTGTAGAAACTACTCTGGTGTATTAAATCTACTCTTGGGATTCTTGTTGGAATTTCTTGTGCTTCATGTTTTTTGTTGTCTCTATTCTTTTTCTTTTTTCTTGTTGTTTCTTTGTTGAGTTTCCTTGTAAAAAAAAGGAAACAAAAGAAGAAGAAATTAAAAGCATCTATATATATATATATATATATAAGGAATGTTAAAATGACCCACCTATTTACTAAATCAATCCATCCTATCAAAACCATCATTTGAATCATGGCCTTCATCCCAACCCCCTTTGTTCCCAACTCTCACTCCCCTTGTTTCTCATAATAGGATGGATATATTTTTAGTAAATAGATGGGTCATTTTAACATATATATATACACACACATATATAGAGTGAGATAGAGGGGGGAGAGAGAGATGTATATTTCTAATAGATATTTCAAGTTTTATTTTATCTTACTTATTAAAATAAATATTTATTACTTCTTTGCACCAATCATTATAAGTTTATAGGTTTTACATTATTGTTATGTGTTGTTATTTGTCTTTGTTTGAACAAGTCAATAGTAGAAAAATACCCTATGGTATAATTCAATCCATCTCCAATTCAATTTAAATATAATGTAAAATTGTCATACTACAATTTAAAATATGCTTCATGTATAAGCCCAAAACTGATTGCTAAAATATAACAAGAAATAATTATTTTTTTATATTAAAATAATATCTTCAATATATAATAAAATATCCTCTTTCAAAAAAATGCAATGATATTTTTGCATTTTCAATAATCAATTAATGAGGTGATTTAACATATTTATCAAGTTTTGTTGTGTTTTGCTTCAATAAATTTTAAGATTTACATACGTATATATATATCTAAACACATTTCATTTCTTTTGATACAACAGAAGTACATGTTCAAAAAATCAGTTTTCAAGCAAGTATTTAAAGTTCACTTTTAAGGTGGTGAATGGTATAGAAATAATTTACAGGTAATAGAGCTTCAAAAAATCTCACTTCATGTTCTCACCCATCTGTCAACATTATCTTCTGATAGAGTACTGAGATCCAAACATCAACCTGTAACATTTCAACATTCCTTTGAGTTTAATAAACGATGGACTTGTTTCCTTTTCCATACCCGACAACATGTAATTTGATTAAACCGCATCTATTTATATCCAATTATTCATTGAAAGTGGATGTTCTGCTTGCACCACGATTAAAAGTGACAACAAAGAAACTACATTCAATGTACTGGTAGAGAAATACGTCACCTACGTCAGACACTTCTTCCCTACGGCTTGAGCATTCCTTACTTGGGTCATTCAACGGATAATTCTACTCGGGAGGGCACAAGGAGTAGATCAACACTTGATGATAGCACTTGAAACTGGAAGGATAATAAGGTTATGCCTCTAAAACTACACCCAGAGATTCCAGACGATGTCCTCTTACTTTCATTTCATGTCTCTGTAAATGTATAAATTCTGCCAAAATAAAACTACTTTACAGAGCAGAGGAACTACGAAATACGGTTTGAACACACTGCAAATCATTACTTCAGAAATAGTTTTGGGCACATATTGTCTTAGATTACTGTCACCACCACAAACAAATCCTGTGTAAAGCCCAGGTTGAGACTTGAGCATGCATTCGGTTCCACAAGGCATTGCAATGCTGCTTTGCAGGTCGTTCTGTCCACGGTGCTTAAGTGTTAGTAACAAGAGGTATGGAACGGGACAGGCGAAATATCCATCAGCCACCAATTGAGAAATGCCCATCCCGGGAAAAAGTCGAATTCAAAACTTAACATTCACGCTCAAATCTTGAAGCCCAGTAAGGACAGATTAAAACCTTGCGATTAGGAACATTGTTTACAAAAACAACCTCAATGTTTTGATCAGAGACACCATAACTCTAATTCATCTGGCGGACGAGGTTGTTCAACTTGGCTTCTCTGTTTCCAGCGTCACCATGCTCCACGTAGTGATTCCTCTTCTTCGTCAGGCCACCAAGGGGAGCGCTCAGCTTGAAGGGCCACAAGAAGTTGTTGGCCTCTTTGAAGTGAGGACCGACAGTGTAAATCTCGTGAATGAGATCCTCAATGCAGATGATGCCGAACTTGCCAAGTGCCTGCTCAATGACACTGTTGTCGGTCAAGGCGGTGCGGCACTTGTCCTGCTTGCCATAACCGCGCTTGTAAATCAACTCCCTGACAGTTTTCAGATTGGGGTATCTGAAAATAATAATGGTGGCGATGTCAGTTTTATGTTCAGTGCAAACAACTGAAAAACACAAGTTTATAGCCAGTTAGCAAGACGCCAATTCCAAGCCTATTTGGCACTTCGAGTACAAATGGTGACTCACCCGTAGGTTACGTAAGGCTCAACCCTGCGCAACATGTTTACGGTGGCCTTGTTCACCTTCATGAACACGCCGTTGAAGATCTGTCTCAGCCTCAACAGCTGCATGATCTTTCTGACTTTAGGGTGCATGTCGTTGATACTGAATTACAGAAGAACAAATCAGCATTACGAAAAAAGTCAACATGACCTACTTTCGCAATAAATGTCAGCCAATCTGAAACAAATGATATCTTTAATTTGGATAATAAAACGTTATTTGACAAGTTCGTCAGACGATGACGTTTGATGGACGTCTAAATATCTTTCAGCACCACATAACACATTGACGTATTGAATACAAAGTCAAAGATGCCCGTCTTTACCCACGGATTCGAATGACAAACATAAGCTTGGGCTCTGGCTCAACGTAGAATCCACCCTTCAGCTTGGCCTCCCTTTTCAGAGTGATCAGTTCCTTTTCCTGTAAAAGAGAAGGATGCCACAATATTAAGAAGGCATTCAGTGCCGGGAGAGAACAAGGAGAAACGTCAGTTACATCACGCCTTGACAATGACCTGAATCAACCCGAACAAAGCCGTGCAAGCACTGATTACCACAAAACTAACGTGGAATCAAGACAATAACCTATTTCATGTAAAATTAGGTCATTGGCATCTTGATATCGTCGATAAGCCGAAAATAACAACCTAAACCCTAAAAGCGGTTTCTCATCTACAAAAAAACAGTGAGTACAGATATATGAAACCATGGAACATTAATGTACGATCACAGCTAAATGAGAGAAACGGCCACCCACTGACAACAAAGATTCACACAACCGCGCCAGAAAGATTCTCAAAGGCAAAACCCTAGACACAGTCTATGCAAGTTTATCCACAAATGCCCATGCCACATTGCTCCAAATGACGAGAAAAGATGAGGGTACGGGCCCAATGACGAATCCTAAAATCAAATTCGCAAACCGTACCGAACGCTGACCAATTTACAATTAACAGTAACCACTAGAGCTTTCACGGCGGATTGCAGCCCAAATTACGGTGACGGGAGAGATCCATGACCACTCCCGAGAATCTCACCTGCTTCTCGTACTCCTCTTGGTATTGTTGAGCACGCTTGAAGATGAGCGTCCTGTTCTTAGCGTTCCGGGACTTAGCAGCGGAAAGCTCCGCAGCCTTAGCGGCAGCCCATTGCTCATCTCGCTTGCGCTTCTTCAAGAGAGTCTCGGGCACAGCAGGCGGGGCTGCCTCGGCACTCATGGTTGCGGGAAGAGACGGGGGGCAAGCAAGGGGAGCCTGGCCTGAGCGGGTGCAGCAACAACAACAACAACGCGGGGAACTTGGAAAGGACTGGACATTGCAGCACAGCTCTGCCTTACCGTGCTCAATCCTGCACCCCAAACCCTAATTTCCTATCCAAGGGCTGAGATCGCCCGCCGCTCCGGACGGCCACGATGGGCTTTGCTTCTGGGAACGTGCCAGTTGAGTTCGAGAACTTCGTTCGACTCACCCATTCCATGATTGACTGCCTGTTTTTTTAAGTTAATTGTAAAATTTGTGTTACTTGTGATTGGAAAATTTGAATAGAACTTCTACAACATGTTCTTATTATTAATAGAACCCATTTTTTTTCTTTACTTAGGCCTGCTTTCACATTTTTGAAGCTACATTCATTCATAAATGAAAGTTTTGAATGCTCAAAAATACTTCTTCAATTTGGTCAAATAAAAACTTCTTGTTAATTTTTTTTAATGATTTTTTGTTCATATTTTTATTTTTATAATTTGAAACATGATTATGTAATTTAGAAAATAGAAAGAGTTTCTACATCAATGTAAAACTAAAAGTAAGCAAAGTAAGCTTGTAATTCAACAACATTAAATGCTACTTTACATTAGTTTTGTTTAATATTTTTATTATATATATGATTGTCTCCCTACTAATTAATCTCATCCATTATTGAAAAAAGTATCAATTATCACAGGTTATAAACTATCAAAACAACAAAAAAATATTCCAAATCTAGATTCTAGGTGACATAGTCTATGAGACTTTTGTTAATTGTTGGAGGTTATTAGTTACTGGTTATATGATCTATTGAAGAGACAATTGTCTACATATTAATGTTTTAAATTTAAAAATTCTCTAAAAATAAAAAATTAACTTTAATTAGTTTTAAACACATTCAAATATTTTTTAAAAAATCTCTTTAATTTAGAATTCTTTGACATTATATAAAAAAAAAACCTCTTACTAGTCTTAATAAGAATCTAGTGTAATTTTTTTTTAAAAAAACTAATATTTATATCTATAGTGTTTGCATGCAATGGAAATATTATTAATTTCTCATAGAATTGCAACAATTATTGTAGAGTTTTTCCAATTTCACTCCTATATTGTATAAGATCCTTAATACTTTATTTTAATTGTTTATAAAATAAATTAAAATTATGAATTAAAGTATAATGTATAGATGAATATATATATATATATATATATATATATATATATATACATTAATGACTCAAATTTAAGTTCAAATTTAAGTTCAAATTTAAGTTCAAATTTAAGTTTTTAATTAATATTTTGTAATATATAAAGACATATATATACATATATATATATATTTATAACTATAGTTTTTAAATAATAATTTATTCAATTATTTCTTTAAATACTTTATATAGTACTATCTCAATTTGTTTTACATAAAATAAATATCTATAGAACCATACAAATTACTATTTTTTTTTAATATGGTTACTAAACTAATATGTAACTAAAATAATGTGGTTTGTGTAAAGACAAAATTTTAATTATTAATTAATTTTTTTTTAGAAAAAATCTTGTATAGATCTCATATAAATACTATCTTCTTCAAACATGTATAGAAAAAAATTATAATCATGAGTGAAAAGAAATTTTAAATCATCACTTTACAAAATAAATATAGAATCATTAATTAAAAAAAAATGTATATACATTAAGAATGTAAAAGTAATCTAAATATACAATGTTCAAAGCAATGATGATAATAGATAGAAAATAACTTACTTTGTCTTGTTTTGTAATTTATTTTTAATAGCACATAAAACCATATATCAAAAATATTAAACATAGTAAATATTAAATTTTTTAGAGATTATCTTTCACTTCTTATCTTGGCAAAATTAATAATCGTCTTTTAAAAGAGTTTTTTGTTATAATTATTCAAAAAACTTAAGTAATAAATTAATTATATATTTAATTTATTTCTCTTTAATAAAAATATAGTCTCTTTAATCAATAGATTGAATAGGATAATTTAAATACAATTTTTTTAACATATATTATAAAAAAATACAAGTGTTATGAAACAATGATTATTAATGTTTAAAGTAATACCATACTTTAATGATTAGAATAGTAAAATCTTAAAAAATAAAAATTTTATTCTAAAAAATTAAATAATTTATTAAAATATTTATATAATTAATATTAATATATATATATATATATATAAATTAAAAAATTACCATTTGATTAAATTTTTAAAATTTTAATAATAATATAAAATATTTAAAATAATTATAGAATGAGTTAAAAGTTGACAATAAAATTAAATCTTTCAAACTTTAAAATTTAAGGATCAAGTATTCAATGTAAACAAATCTTAGTAAGAAAAAGTTATCAAATATAAAATATTCAATAATTGTATTTTTAAAAATTATTTTAAATATTAAGCAAGTCATTCATATCAGTGAGATTATATATTCAATAAGATTTTATAAATTATTTTAAAATTAATTAATTAATTTATAAATTTATAAAATTTTGAATAAGTATTGAAAACTATAAATTTAAATACAATGTTCTCTTTAATAATTAATCTCTAAAAAAAGGAACACCTCAAATAATTAATCAAAACTTTGGCAATTGACTATGATTTATGGTGCATAATTAACAAACACTAATTTCCTATAATTAATTCATTTTCATTGATTTTTTTATTATTCAACAAAGGTTATTAACAGAGGTCAAGTAAATATATATGATTGAGCATAGCAAGGTGTTTGCCCATAGGTTATGATGGTCAAAGACGTGCAGTGGAACAGTAACAATGATATACTGATGTGTCTAAGATATAAACAATTCATTTGTTATGATACTTCTACACAATGCTATCTAGTTCACAAATACCCTGGATTCAATGAATCAAATATTTTATTTTATTTTATTTATTATTGTTCATTCAAGTACAAAACAATATATAGTTTTGCTTAGTAAGAATGCTTGCAAAACTTAATAAACTAACTTGATATGTTTACAACATTAAATATTGAATATCCAAATTCCAAAAGACTAAGAAAGAGAGTGTATACTTGTCTTTCTAAGGATGTTTATAACACCTAAAAGTTTTCTAATCACTATTTCCTTCATATATTAGCAATGTTGCTTTGATTAATTACTAGTAGTGTTCTATGGTCATGTCTTTACTCAATGTTCTCTTATAGTATTGACATTTTTCAATGCTACAACTTTCACTAAAAATTACTAACATTATCCATGGCGCATACACAAGGCTCTATGGTTGCCTAGATTATAGGGCATTGGCAAGGATAATTTTTATCTAGGATTCAATGCACCACCTCTCATAATTCTTATTCTCTAATAATTAATATTTTTTTTGCAAGGAATAATATAAATTAATAAAATAAACACTAAATATGTAAAAAATTGAGCACAATAGAAAGGTAAAACTAAATTATTCAAATGTAGTAAAAAAATACATTTACCAAATCATGAAAAGAGCATAAATGTATAAAAATTCGGGATAAAAAAGAAAAGACCACCTTGGAAAAGTGTTTTAAAAATATGTATAAAAAACAATTGATTAAAAGAAAAGAAAACTGAATTAAAATATTAAACAATAAACTTAAAAGTTTAAAAATAAATATGAGATTAAAGGATTTATTAAATAAATATATAAATATATAAATATATGAATATATATAAATATATAAATATATGAATATATATAAATATATAAATATATGAATATATATAAATATATAAATATATGAATATATATAAATATATGAATATATATAAATATATGAATATATATAAATATATGAATATATATAAATATATGAATATATATAAATATATGAATATATATAAATATATGAATATATATAAATATATGAATATATATAAATATATGAATATATATAAATATATGAATATATATAAATATATGAATATATATAAATATATGAATATATATAAATATATGAATATATATAAATATATGAATATATATAAATATATGAATATATATAAATATATGAATATATATAAATATATAAATATATAAATATATAAATATATATAAATATGTAAATATATAAATATATATAAATATATAAATATATATAAATATATATAAATGTATAAATATATATTTATATATGTGTATATTAAATTTATAAGTGACTAAATTTATTTAATGTTATGTGATGTTAATAAATTTTAACAAGAAAATCACAGATAAAAAAAATTCATATTTTTTTGTTTATTAACCATGAATAATCTTTAATTTAAGGACATACAAAAAATTATATCAAAGAAATAAAAAGAAATTATTAAATTTGCTAGTAGTTTATAGTATGCAATAAGAATCAAGAATGATAATAATAATATTATTTTTTCATTATAAAGTATTGAATTAATTTAAAATTATACTTTTAATATATAATTTATTTTTTTATAAATTATAAAGTTTAAATACAAATATGAATTTATATTAATTTAAAGTTTAAATTATTTTTTTTTGAACATGAATATTTAGTATAACCAAGCTTATTACAATAATAATCAAGTATTTTTAGATTTTAAAGAATACGCTCAATAATAAAATCAATGAATAGAACAAGTAAAAAAGATTAACAATTGTCTTTAAAAATAGTAAGAATGAAGAAATTTTTAGATATTATATATTATATTTAAAGATATAAAAGATTGTAAGCAAGGATGGACTAAAGAAGAGAATGAGAAAAATTAAGAATGTGAAAGAACAGCGATGAAAAACAAATATATAAATAAATAAGAAAGAAGTAGATGAATACTAAAGAAAACAAAGGCACGTATATATAGGAGAAGGATGACATTAGTGGCAACAAAGA